AGAGTTGGATGGACTTAGGGGCTCCCTTAAAAATCCCGAAATTGAAAATGCCAGCCCCACCGAGATTCGAACCCAGGATCCCAGGAAGCAAAGCACTTAATCACTCAGCCACCGCGCCCCAAAATACTCAAATAAGTCCTTTTAGTTATTCAGCACTTGAATGAATACAAAGAAACCGTACAAGCCAAGGAGGAGGAGGAGATAGCCCAAGACCGGACAGAAAGGCGACACACTGTACGTGCTGGTACGAACCTCGCCGAGAGCAAATGAAACGAAGCTGCCCTATCAGCTGCCCCTAAAAACGGATGTATATACATGCATGAACTGTGGCAAACTCTGCCGCTCCAGAATCGCCTTGATAAGTCACTCCAGATTCTGCCCCCATCTCAAGACGAAACTAAAGCCAGTGACTCATTATGGAGCATCCATCGTCTTTCGAGACAGAAGAAGCCTTAATATTAATTTGAGTCTAAACTACAACCTATGACTATTACTGGCAGAGTATGTTTATGATATATGCACAAAAAAGCAACAATTTTTGTCATAAGTCATGTTCCTTCCCTACTGTTAATTAAATTATTTCAAATTGGCTAACAAGTACTCTAATTTGTATAAACAAAGAAAAGCTTTAAACTGACTGTATGCATTCAAAACTATTGAAACTTTCATTTAATAGAATACTACTGTAGCATTTCCAACAAAAACAAGTATAATTAATTAAATTAGAAAAGCAAAACAAGTCGGAAAAACATTTTAATCATGCACTTAACTAGGATACAGGATCCAATCAAATAGATCTAACCTATCAGCGAGACAGATGGCAGTGTCATTGTACTGTTGGTGTGTTTGCCTTAACAACTGTGCATTATTTACTTGTGTGCAGATATTATTTAGACACCAAGTTATTCACTTATTTGTTTACTGTTGCTCTTGTTAGCTTGCACACAAACTCGTCATGGCTGGAACATAAACTTGAGGGGATGCCCCAAATGAGTGTTTTTTTTTACATTAAATATTAAATACGCAAAATGCAGGGACCCCAAAGAGGTCAAGCCCCCACCCACCCAACCGGGCCCCCAATTGATGGCAATTTCCTAGCTACGCCACTGCCAGGAACCTGGTTGGACACGGATCTCGAAAACGGCTTTTACGATTTTCCTAGCAATTTGAAAGTGCATGTATATCAAAAAACAAATTACTAGCTAATTGGGCCATACGGTGAAAACTCTGGTTTGATCGTTATCATTATTATTTTTTAAATTATCATCCTAAAATTAAATTTGGCTAACGATTTACTTTCCTGGACACAAGTCAGTGGGAATTGCAAAATGTATTCAATAAAGAGATGAATTTTAAAAACATAGATGCTCAGAAACATTTTTCGCACCGTTTTATGTAGAACTCATGGGCTGGACTGCTAACATTAATTTATGACACTGTATGTAATACTTAATTAATTCACAATATAAACCCTATATCTCAAACTAAATCCAGTATTCTAGTCTAGACTTCTTTTATTTAAATGTTTTAAAGTCTTGCTCTATACCACAAAACAAAAATTCTCTATACTCAAGGTAGATGTATACATGGGCGGAACCAGGATTTTTTTTTTTTCGAGGGGAGAGAGGGTAATTGGGAGTCACAGTAAAAATACTTCTTTTTTTTTTTTCACTCATTAGTTATTAAGAGTGAAGTAAGCGCTCCTACAAAAGGTCGTCAGCTGCATGAAGGAGAAGTGGTCTTCACACACTACAAAGACCATGACGTATGTTTCTTGTTTTAAAGCCGACTACTCTGCGGCTTAAGTTTCCCAAACCAGACAGGCACAATGAGTTTATATAAGCTTTGTAAAAATATTTCTAATCGCACAGGTTTATAATTGTTAGTCTAAATTTATTACACATTTAATTACATGACTGATCCAAAGTAATTGAAGCAATTACCCTTTAAAGAAAAAAGGTTTTTTGAAAAAAAGAACATTATTTTTTTAGGTTTTTCTTGTTACCAATTGTTTTTTTAGCCAATTTCATGCTTTTAGCGTTTTAAATGCGCTATGATCCTATCACTTGTCTGGTCCAGTGGCGAAAAGGGGGTGTATGCGTGAATGTTACCGTGATCGCATTTTAAATACATACTAAATAAAATTGTACTTCTTGAATTCGAGCTCAAGCCTCCTCAAGGGAACTAATTCAAGTTATACCACCACATCTGTCAAGTACAATTTCTTTCCTTTGTTCGATACCAAAAATAATAATTAATTAGCAATAGTTAATAAACTAATTGGTTTTCTTTTTTTAAATTCTTGTTTGATTATGTACAAGATATAATTGTGCGAAATTTTTCATCCGAGATGGGTGAGGGAGAAATAACGTGTACAAGCCTTTTACCAGACAGAGTGGGTTGATCTAAGCCAGCGGTTCTCAACCTTTTATGCTCGGCGACCCCTTTTACAATCCCCCACTCTACCGCGACCCCCCCCCCCCCACACACACACATACTGCAAAAGAAGAATAGACAATAACCATCCATATTTTCGATGGTCTTAGGCGACCCCCTGGCAAATCGTCAATCGACCTCCAAGGAGGTCGCGATCCACAGGTTGAGAAAAATAGACAAAACAGATATGACTCTTATGCTATAAACATGCTAATCTCGTGAATAGACAGAAAAGATAAGTTTGTATATATACACAAGACAACTATGCTAATTGCAATGCATTTATAAATGCATCTTCTTAACCAGGATTCTCGGCGTTAGAAAGAATTATAGAAGCCGCGCGTGTTTCACACATTCTTGACTAGAGCTTCCTCCTGCAGAGGAGTGTGAATTATTGGTATACACTCTTGACCAAGTAGGGTAGTGGGGGGGGGTATTCATAGAGATGGGAGGGCGAGACATGCACGCATGATTTGTATGAAAGGGAGGCAGACCTAGAAGGGGGAGGGGAGAGAGGAAACACCAAGTGTGTGTTGTCATACAATCGTAAGTACTGTCATCATTAATTAAACCTGTCACCCCCCTGACGGACAAAAGCCATATTATCCATCAGGTAACATTTTTTTTTTTTATGTGTGCTGCATAGACTTTATGGGGTCCCTCTCCCCCTCCCATATGATAACGTTAGTTAATTCAGACGACTCAAGAGTAAGCTTTTAATTTCGCTGTCTCCGGATCGTTATGTTCATCGTTAAGTGTTCTTAAAGCCAATTTAGTACATAACACAATCAAGCGATTGGACCAAAGTCTTCGATGAAATCGTAATATCGTTCATCATTTACATTGTAGTCTTCTTCATCATCTTCTTCTTCTTCGTTCTCGTTTTACATGTCGGAGGGTTCAGATCAGTAATCCTTTATCAGGCAGTACTCCGTATTGTTTTTCTTCTATAGTAGGGTTTTTGGGGCCAGAGTCTTATTCTGGCCTCTTGATATGGTATGCAGATTTGAAGGACAGGGTCAGCATTCTCTGGTGATGCTCCACAAGGGCAGGTTTCGCTAGTCCCGACTTTTAGCGTCCGGAACATATGTTGTCTCATTCTGTTGTGTCCCGTTCTGAGTCGAAAAATTATGCGTTGGTCATGTCGAGATAGCTTATAATAGGCGTTCTTTTTCTTGTAATTGGGATGTGAGCTGGTCTAACTCTCATTTATTCTCCGCAAATGTAGAGTACATCTTGAGTTTTGCTATAATTCATGTTGAATTTTATTAGCCAAGTTATAATTATAAAACGTCTAGATGTAATGCTTTATAAATGCAAGGGTTCTTATTCCTAAACTATGGACATTTTATGATGTCTAATAAGAGACTAGAAATCCCTTATAAAGTATATATATATATATATATATATATAAATCAAAGCCCTATAACAAAAAGGCTTCTCTTCTGTGTAATAGTATAGGTAAAGGTTTCCCTTTAAGACCTTGCGATCTGCAGGGGGCAGATGAGTTAAAGATTATCTGTTTCTGTGGCCAGCACAAAGACCAGCCACCTCGATGTATGCCGTGTAACCATTAGAGTTGGGTGGACTCAAGAACGCCCTGAAAATCATGGTTCAAAAACTCAATCTTTGCCTGGATTTAAACTCGTGATTCACTCAGACACCCCCACAAGCCCCGTTTTTTCTGTTTTGCAACTTGATCTCAATATTTTTGTAAGTTGCAATAATCGCGAGAACCATTAGATGAATGCCTTTAAATAGGAGACACATCACCTTATCATTTATAGTGTCTCACACGCAAACTCACACATCAACATAAGCAGGGCCGGTCCTAACTATTGCAGGGCCCTATGCGAAACGGATTGCGCGGGACCCAGTCTGGGAGGGTATAAGCATAATGTCAAAATTAAGATTTTGTATAGGCAATAAATTCTTATTAAAGGAAAGCTGACAGTGACTTTTTTTTTTTTCGCGCATGGAAAACGCACCACAAAATTATAATTTTGTCCATTTTTCAGGAGATTTTAATAATTTGAGGAGATTTCCAGGACTTTTTCGTATATAAATTGAAATTTCACTAGATTTCCAGGAGGTCCTTGAAAATCAGGAGACCCTGTTATTATAGTTATTATAGTTATTATAAGTGATAATGGTTTAGTCTAAAAATTTACACCTCGATTTAGCGCAGGGCCTATGAAAGTGCGGGGTTCACTGCGGCCGCAAAGGTTGCAGTGGCATAAGGCCGGCCCTGAACATAAATATCATTGACTTCTATTATCACTATACTTTAATTACAAAGATAACATCTCTCTTTCTGATGATGAGATTTGAATTTAATACAAATAACTCGTCTCCACATTTCTAGACATGACGGTTGATAGTCATGAACCTTCTGGGGACCACTGTCGATGACAAGCCCCTTGACATGTACAGACCTGGTGGAGGTATTTTGCTGACCTTCTCTGTTGCAAAGGTAAAAGGAAATGCCCAGCCCTTTCCCCTCACGGTCTGTTGTCAATGAGTTTTCACCTGCGTGAACTTTTGTCGTCCGGTATAAAACGCTGTGAACAAGCGCGCTAGCTAGCATACAGCTACTACACTTAGTACTGGACGGTGATTAATGCGTCTTTCAACTCTATAGTTTTGTTTCGCCTTTTTAACGTCCGCCAACGTCATTCAGATTTCAGTAATCCGCCATACAGTCACAGAGTCGGGTCTCCGTTTTGAAGCTACTGCCTTATGCCTCGAGCAACTTCAGATACAAACTAACGGACTATAATTAGACATTTGTTCTGAAATTGTGGGTTTTTTTTTTTTACTTCGATCAAAGAAAAAAGAATGGCCAAAATGATTTTTGAAATTTTCAAAGATATGCTAAGGATTTATTTGGTTTTGGCTGCGTTACATGGTAAGTGTCAAATAGAAGATATTTGTATTTTTTTCCCAGAATGCTCTATCTTTGATACGCTGTAGAAACATGTTTCTATATTTAACTCTTTCTCACCGTAATTATTTTCTACTTTCCGATGAAATTATTCCTTTTGCTCATCAGTTTTACTTTATCCCCTGTTAGGATTAAACTTCCAAAACTTTGTGTGTGTCATCAGGAAATGTTATTTTACGAATATAATTGTAGGAAAATGCATTCACTTTTTTATCTAACAATTATTAAAGTTTATAAAAATAAAAAAAAATTATATTTAATGGGGCTAAATCGACGTTGGTATCGTTAGATAGGAGAGAAGGAGTTTCGAATGTGCGAGGACTTGTCTGAAGTTTAATCGTAAGATTTTATATTTTCTAATTCTGAAGTAATTGAGGTGTGCAAAATATAGCATAGAATAATTAGGCAAGAACCATTATAGAAAGGGCATTTAACTATTATCCTTTAAGTAGTATCATATGATTGACTAGAGACCTTTAAGAGTGGCCCTTCACGCAAGGTTCGTTCATTAAAACTCTCGTTCCCTGAAGTCCTGGTTCAATCGTTTATTTTTTCTAGAGAATTACAATATTTGAACCAAAAATAATAATAATAAGGCTTGTCTTCGAGTCCGAAGATGAATGAGGAATGCAGTATTTTCCGTGGCTTTGCACCCCAGCTGCGACCTACAACTAGCCCACAATTGTAAATGAACCACAAATAGTACTAGTAGTAATAATAAAAAACAAAAGGACTGATAAACCGAAGTAACATTAACAGTGTTAACGAATGCTTCGCGAACAAAGACAAAACTGAGCTTTACAGTTGGAAATAAAAAACACTAATTACTTTTTGTCTTAGTTTTAAAACTTCTATTTGGAGTGAGCACACACTGTGCTGGCACTCTTTAGGAGCTCATATATGCATAAATTACGTTCCTGTATTAGATTCTAAACTTTGTGAATAAATATTACTTGCACGTCATTTAATCGCAAAGGACATATACCGGATGTAAGGAGTGTCTTGACAAGGGAAACTCCACTCTGATGTCATTGCTGAAAGAAATAGATGAACTCTAGTTAAACTAAACGCAGTGATTACACAGTGATTCAAAAGACAGTCTAGCTGCTTACATCAACGCCAAAAAATGAAATGCCACAATTGACAAAAACAGAAAGTTTTCCCGCGACATTGTTACATTCTGTTCTTATATTGGAGACCATGTTACATAAAGTTTAGTCCTCTGCCGCTGATGGTGTTTATATTGAAGTATTTGATATGTATTTTACACAATCTATTCCTACCTTGTGTTCAAATACTAGATCTCTGTCTCTTTTTTACAAAACTCAAATCAACATATCAGTCTGTCTGTCTGTACACATTATTCTTATCACTTCCCTATTCTCAGATCAAGTTGAAACTTTAGACAATTATTCATTGTCGCTAACAAAAAATGAATCAATCAATAATAAATTTACTAATGAAGTAATTAATAAGTGATAGGTTATTAGTTTTATGTCATCTAAAATTAAAAATCGTACAGCATTTATCTTCTGCAATGTGCAAGCGCAGTTTTTTCTCTTATATACAATTCTTTAGTCTGATTTTATTAAAGTTTTTATTTTGGTTGTTTGTTTTGTGGTTTTAAGTTTTCGAATTGTACTGTTGACTAAACCGAAAGTTATCATGACTTAAAAACTCTAAAATTAGCTATGCTTCAAAGTCTGGCCATATATCTGCTTTCATTTTTTAAAAAATTGAATTGTTTCCCTTGAGTGTTCTTAGCGTCAAACATTTATGCAGTTGTCTTTCTTTGTGTCACAGCTGCAGTTGAAGGCACGCGCTGCTCCTACAAAGTACTGCCACGGAACGACAAGATCGTTGGCGCCAAGAACTTCTACATGGCCACGGAAATGGCTCACAAGGACTGCCAGTGGGGATGCTGCTTTGATCAAAAGGAAGACGTCTGCTGCTCTTTTCCGTAAGAAGTTTCGCTAATAGAAACATTATCTACTTAACGCTCAAGGAAATGAACCAGTTTAATACTTAAACAAAGCAATCATGTAATTTTATCTACACTAAAAATATTTTCTTTGGGCCTCATTTATATTATATTTCTTAGGGAATATCAGAATTGGTATAACTCCTGTAGAGAGCATCTTTCATGCTGAAGCATGCATTGTCCATGGGCGCCCTAGGCATTGTCCAATCCTTTTTGTGGATCTGTGTGATTAGGAAGGTTGTATCTGGGACTAGGTTTCCATGCTACTTTTAGGCGCTAAGCAAACACAACTCAGCTCGAGTCTGGATTCGAATCCAAGCCGTCTAGAAAAGTAGCCAAGTGATGTATACCACTCGGCCGTACATTACATATAGATATGTGACGTCGTGCTAGTTTTTGGATCACCTTTTTATTTCATTAAATTTAAAATTGAAAGTTGCACGCCTCTGAATAACTGTATCAACGCGCTTGTAACAACCTCTTTCTGGAGACTGTGTTGAAGAGATAGCTGAGAGTTCGTTCCCGTGCTGCCTTTAAATGACCAGAAAACACAACGCAATGGTTTAAACCTCAAATAAAGTATTCGTTCAGGAACTCTTTAACTTCTCTCCTTTTTCTTTCCGGTTCTTTTACATAAGCGGTTTATGTTTTTCAACGTCACAATCCCATACAGTTCGTTCCGTCACATTTGCACTGTTGCAATTTTTATAATGACCAATCCGTCAATTAATTGAAACAAGCCAATTGAAATGGAAGTTCATTTTGAATGGGCTTTATTATTGTTTGAAAAAAAAAAGAGAACTAATTGAACTTGTATCATTACATAAATGCAATGCAACAATAACTTAATTTTTAATTTTTTTTTTTTAATCTGTCCACTCAAAGTGCGCTTGTTTATTGTTTTCCCACAGAATGGATGCGGTCGTCTTCGCCTTCATCGCCACCATCGCCATCATCATCGTCGTCGCCTTGATCATCATCCTCCTGTGTTACATCCACTCGAAGAAAACAAAAACACACATCGAATGCAACGGGCCAATCTTAATCAAGGACCGTGACCAGCCGAAACTTTTGATTCTCCCTTGAACTTTAACCCCCAGTGAACAACTTTTGGATTCTACTGCCGTCCTATACAAAGCATCTCATTGTAACATCTAGCTGTATCGCCAGCTCAAACACGACAAATATTTGTTTTAAAGCTGACTAGATTTAAGTTACACATTTTTCATACATATGTCCTTTGAATCGCGTTGAAAAGAACATACCACATTATCTGGGGCTTTATACAACACTTTTACAAAAAACTAAGGAATCAACTATTAGAAAGCTGCTAAGTCCTATGTGACAACCAAACGCCATGGCTGCTAAAAAAAAAAGATTAAACCTAGAAAACAGCTGACTTCATGCATTTATTTGCTAGACCACTTTTTGGAAGTAGCTTTAGAGCTGAGAGAATCACTTTTTAATTGTTTATCGAATCTTGAAGTAATGTGGCACTTACACTCAAGAATATGTATATATTATATAGTTCTCATATGTCATATACCAGGGCTGTAAAATTAAAATTTATCAAATGATAAAAAAGGAAATAAAGTTCCCCTTTCAGAAATTGCTATCTATGGGGCAGATGATGCAATGGTCATCTGTTTCTTTGGCCTATGGTAAACGAGGATGCCATGTGGCCAGCACCACGACCAACAGCCTAAAATTTGTCCTAAGTAATGTCAGTTACCCATTTGAACTGGGTGGACTCAGAGGCGCCCTAAAGATCTCGAAATTAAAAAGTTCCATTCTTCACCAGGATTCGAACCAGGGACCACTCAGCCACTGCGCCTCCCTTATCAAATGATGCTGCTACATAAATGTCAAGGCTTTCATCTTATACAAAACTCAACGAGATAACGCAGTTTTTAAGCAACTAATGGCGACCAAATAGGTAATAATACATCATACATGTACAAACTTGTACAATATTCAAACATTCTACTTTTTTTCTATTAAGAGTTCCACCATTGCTAAAGATGGGATCATGTCATCTACCGCATAATTGGTTGAAAATTACCACGCTTGCGCAATACTTAGAGCGTCCTTGATTGTTTTAAAATTATTGATTGCTTCGTTGTTTTTTTTTGTTATTGTTTGTATAATTATTTCACCATTTCAATGTCATGTGTCATTTCAATATGACATTGTGAATCGCCAACTTCAATTCCATGAATTGTATTCTTTGCATTATATTAACATAATTAGGTGTGACCTTGCCTGGTTCATCTTAATAACGTGTAATGTCTCCTAATTATTTTCTCATCCTTTGAATGTGTATAGATGATGATGTTGATGATGATGATGATGTTACTTAATTAAATAATAAAAAATATTTTGTGGGTAAATAATGAAATGAATGGTGAAATAAATGATAAAGTATTGAATGCTGTGGTGAATTCTGTGGTGAATGGTATATGTTGTGAATGAAGCTGTAAATGATAAACGACTTTTGTTGTAAATAATATGATGAATGGTAATATACATATTACAAGAAGTAATGAATCAAAGATTTTCTGAGTGTTGTATTGAATTATACAAGAAGTGAATTATTAAATGATGTTATGAGCTTTTAAATATTTTATTAACAAATGATACAAGTGATAATGCTACTGCTTCCAATGATAATCTGATTAAAACTTATCATCTTTATCATGCATTATTGGAAACAGTCGATTGACTCTGATACTTCTGATGAGTGTCCAGTGTCTGACCAACGTTCACTTGTCCATTTATACCGCTAGCTGTTTCTGTGATATTATTTAATTACAATAAGTGCGATTGCAATCATTTAACTTTAATGTACTTTAGTCATTTTGCCTATGTGTAAAAGTTTACATCCAAATAACAGACCACGCCATCCAA